TTTTTTTTTTTTTTTTAAGAGACAGTCTCACTTTATCGCCTTGGCATCACACAGCTCACAGCAACCTCCAACTCCTGGGCTTAGGCGATTCTGTTGCCTCAGCCTCCTGAGTAGCTGGGACCACAGGTGCCCACCACAACACCTAGCTGTTTTTTGTTGCAGTTTGGCTGCAGGTTCAAACCTGCCACCCCTGGTATGTGGGGCCGGTGCCCCACCCACTGAGCCACAGGCTCCACCCCACAGCTGACATTTCTAGAGTGGAGGCATGTCTTACAGTTGGTGACAGTTGAATTGGCCTTGTATTTTCCTTCTTAGTAATGCAGTTAATTATGGTGTATGTAGGATATGGGGACTTTTGCAGTTCTCTTTGACTCTGAGATAAAATCACAGGCTTTGTCTCAGGAAGAAAGCTACTCCCAGCCTATTTTCTCCCCTTACTAATAGCTTAATTGAGATATAATTAATGTATCACACATTTTACCTATTTAAAGTATACAGTTCAATAGTTTTTATATATATATATTTTTTGAGACAGAGCGTCAAGTTGGTGCCCTGGGTAGAGTGCCATGGCATTACAGCTCACAGCAACGTCCAACTCCTGGGCTCAAGCAATTCTTCTGTTTCTGCCTTCCAAGTAGCTGGACTACAGGCACCCACCACAACGCCTATTTTTTGGTTGCAGCCGCCATTGTTGTTTGGCGGGCCCAGGCTAGATTCAGACCCGCCAGCTCAGGTGTATGTGGTGGACACCTTAGCCGCTTGAGCCACAGGCGCCAAGCCAGTTTTTATTGTTTTTATTCATAGAGTTGTATGACCATCACTACAATCAATTTCAAAACATTTTTATCACTCTCTTTAAAAATTCCATACATTTCCTCCCCCTTTTCCCCTCAACCCCTGACAATGACCGATCTACTTTTTGTCTCTCCTGCTTTGCCTTTTCTGGACATTTCATATAAATGGAATCATTATGTGGTACTTTTTAATGTTTAGACCAAAATGCCTGCTTTTGGCTAATGGACCCCAGGACCCTATGGCTTGGCAGGTGGATAGTGCCTACACAAAAGAGGAAAATGGTACCCCTTTCCTCTGGGCTGGTGGAGGAAGTCCTAAGGGCATGAGCTCCTTGCCAGCCTCCATCCCTGAGGGCTCCACCAATCAGTGTCCAGGGACACAAGCCCGTGTGTGGCTGGCTGGGCAGGGGCCTCCTTGGAAGAAACCCATGGCCTTTGCCTTTGCCCCACACTGCCACCCACATCTGACCCAGAGTGTCTCTTTCCCTGCTCTGAGCCTCAGTTGTCTCTTTTGAGACAGGAGACTCAAGCTGTCCCCCTGGGTAGAGTGCTGTGACATCACAGCTCACAGCAACCTCCAACTCCTGGGTTCAAGCAAGTCTCCTGCCTCAGCTTTCCAAGTAGCTGGGACCACAGGCGCCCACCACAACGCCCAGCTATATTTTTTGGTTGCAGCTGTCATTGTTGTTTGGCGGGCCCGGGCTGGATTCAAACCCGCCACCTTGGGTGTACGTGGCTGGTGCCTTAGCTACTTGAGCCACAGGCACTGAGCCACCTCAGTTGTCTTAAAAGCAAAATAGGTGAAGTGTTAACAGATTGCTTCTAATCTCAAACAGCATGGATTGTTACATGTACTGCTATATACCATGAGAAAAAAGAAGTTGCTAGTTAAGCCATGATGTACTATCAATCATGAGGTAGATCCCAGTTTCAGAGTTGTTAAAATGTGAGGAAAAAATGTTCTACATAGAATCAATAACTGCCTCCCTAGTAGCTGTGACCACAGGCATTGTGCCTGCCACAATACCTGGCTATTTTTTTTTTTTTTTGTAGTCATTATTGTCTTAGCTGGCCCAGGCTGGGTTCGAACCTGCCTGCCTCAGTATATGTGGCTGGCACCCTACCCGCTGAGCTACAGGTGCTGCCATGAATCAATAATCTTATTTACCACCTGATCTGACAGGACAATGTCAACTTGCAGTTATACCCAAAAGGCAAAAAAAGAAGTTTAGTTTTTATTTTGGATAAATATGAACATACATACAATTAGGGTATATTGTTTGTTTTTGTTAGGAAAAGTTCAAGTTGTACTTGCGTCCTTCACCCAGGAGGTGTGCCATATACCCCTACATGGTACCTCTTAGGTGGGAGCTTACTGAACCCCTACTACTCCCCCCTTCTTGAGTTGTGTTTTTCCTTTTGTGTGGCAAAAGAGAAGTTTAAAAAGAATAAAGCTTCATGTGTGAGATCTGCCTGGTCTTGGCCTTGGCTTTATGTTTTAGTGGTGGTTGTAGAAGTAGTAATTGTAACAGCTTTTATTATTATTGTTATGATTACTACTACTACTATGACCACCACTAAACATAAAAACAAGGCCAAGACCAGGCAGATCTCACCTGTTGCTTGAGGATGTCTTCTGTACCAACCACCATTTAATGCTCTTTATGTGGCGAAAAAAAAAAAGGAAAAAAATGAAGTTCTTTATGTGGACTTGCTCAGTCTGCACAATGACCCAAGGACAATTGGTGCTGTTATCACTAAAATGTCAACACGGTGAGGTCAAGGACTTTCACATGTGCCCTGTGGTATCCCTAGTGCCTAGTACAGGATCTGTCCTATGCTATGTGCCCAGTAAATACTTGTTAAATGTATTATCACAGATTTACAGATGTGGAAACCAAGGCACTGAGAGTTAACTTGCCCAGAGTCCCCAGTGGCGGAGTCAGGATTTGAATCCATGCTCTAAAGCCTATTAGTAACTTCCATTCCTCTCTCTGAGGCAGGGCTGTTCTGTGGTAGGGAGGGAGCTGGTTGAGGTTCATGGACTAGCTCTGTCTGTGACCTTACTTTCCAGCTTCCTTTGGGTCTTGTCATCCTCTGTCCTGGCTAGCTGAGGTGGGTAAGGCAGAGAACCAGAGTCCCACCCAGTTCTCCCAAATCAGTCATTGGCCATGCTTGTGTAATAATGCTTAGACTCATACTCCAGGGTAGGGTGGAGCTATAAAGAGAAGGGCCTGGTTAATGTGGTTAAGGATTTGGAAGCTCTTTCAACATTATAGTCTGAGGTGAGTTCCCTGACCTCTCCTTGCCTCAGTTTCTTCTTTGGCAAATGGGAGGAATTTTGATAACTGCTTAACTCACAGTTAAGGGTCAGGAGGGCTTAGTTCCATCATGCAGGAATGAGCGTGTGTGTGTGTGTGTGTGTGTGTCTGTGAGAGAGAGAAGCATTCAGCGTGGGACCTGGTACATGATAAGCATTTAATTTGTGGGAGATGTTATTGTGGTTTTGCTGCTGCTATTATCTAAAGAGAATAATGTGAATAAGGAGCCCCGTCCCATCCCCCAGCCACTTCGGAGTGGATCCAGTTCTTTAAGGAAGCCGGCATTCCTCCAGGACCAGCTGTCAACTATGCTGTGATGTTTGTGGATAATAGGTGAGGTCCCTGAGGGGGGCGGGTCTGAACGTGGAGAGGGGGAGGCGGGGAGCTGGCTGACCCCTATTCTGGCCCAGTTGTGGCCTTACCACAGACCCTCCCCTGCAGGATTCAGAAGAGCATGCTGCTGGATCTCAATAAGGAAATCATGAATGAACTGGGTGTGACTGTGGTGGGCGACATCATTGCCATTCTCAAGCACGCCAAGGTGGTACACCGCCAGGTGGGGTGCCCTGCCCGACCCCTTTGTCCCTGAGTTTATCATGGAGGGGCAGTTGCAGAGCCAAAAGGTGGCCTGGCAGCAAAGGCAGGCTGACCTGAGTTTCAGGGCTGGTTCACACATCTGCTGTGTGACATTGGGCATGTTGCCTACGTTCTCTGAGCTTTACTTTTTCTATCTGTAAACAGCAGAGGCAAACCTATCTTGAAAGACCATTGTGAGTATTAAGCTAAATAAAGCCCTAGGACAGTGTAAACTTCTGGTATTAAGGCCTGTAATTACTATTATTGTTACTTCTTATCTTCCTCATGATAATTATCATCTCCAGGACCCTCTCTGTTTGCAGGACAAGAGCTTCCTATGTGGGACCCAGATAGTGGTAACCTGGCTGTCAGTCTGGCCCTTCTAGTCTTGGCCCCTCTACTTACAGTACCCACCTCCCTAGGTTTCTTCTTTTCACTTACCCCTACTGCATAGGGTGGCTATGGCCATCTACCAGATAGTGTATGAGGCCTGAGTGCTAGGCCTGGAGTGAAGTGCTCATTAAGTCATAGCCGAAACTTACCCAGCACTTGCTGTGGCCTGCCAGGCACTGTCTCATTCTTTATCCATATGAGCTTATTCACTCTTCACTCCACCTGACCAAGAAGGAAACTTATGCCAGCGCTGTGTCCTCAAATACTCCACTTTATTTATTGATATATTTATTTGAGACAGAGCCTCAAGCTGTCGTCCTGGTAGAGTGCCATGACGTCATAGCTCAGAGCAATCTCCAACTCCTGGGCTTAAGCGATTCCCTTGCCTCAGCCTCCCCAGTAGCTGGGACTACAGGTGCCCGCCACAGCCCCCAGCTATTTTTTGGTAGTAGTTGTCATTGTTGTTTGGCAGGTCCGGGCTGGGTTTGAATTTGCCAGCTTTAGTGGGTTCAAACATACTGCCTAGTGCCTTAGCCACTTGAGCTAGAGGTGCCAAGCCAAGCACTCCACTTTAACAAACGGTGACTGCTGTGGTTGTTCATGTCATTTTTTGGTAGCTTCCTCCATTCCACAACAGGCCTTCATTTCTCTATCATCTAGGATAGGATCCCACAAGCCAGGGACATTCAGTTGTCATGGAGAAGGTCACTGAGTAAAACATTGTGATCTTTTTTAAAAAAAACCTTTTTAAACTTTCAAATTTGGCAATAATTTTGGATTGATAGAAAAGTTCCAACAGTAGTATGGAAAGTTTCCCTATCTCCTTTACCCAGGTATCCCTGTTAATATCTTAAAGAGTCATGGAACATTTGTCAAAACTAAGACGTTGGCTCAGTGCCTGTGGCTCAAGTGGCTAAGGCGCCAGCCACATATACCAGAGCTGGCAGGTTCAAATCCAGCCCAGGCCTGCCAAACAACAATGACAATTGCAGCCAAAAAGTGGACAGGTGTTGTGGCAGACGACTGTACTCCCAGCTACTTGGGAGGCTGAGGCAAGAGAATTGCGTAAGCCCAAGAGTTGGAGGTTGCTGTGAGCTGTGATGTCACAGCACTCTACCCAGGGTGACAGCTTGAGGCTGTGTCTCAAAAAAAAAAAAAAAAAAACAACTAAGACGTTAACATTAGTAACTACTAGTGAGTAATAGTAGTTATCATTTCATCTGTTTTTCCACCAAAGATCTGTTCCCAGATCCAGTCCAGGATACCACATTCCATTTACTTACCATGGTTCCTTTATCTCTTTTGATATGTGATGGTTTTGTAGTCTTCCTTGTTTTTTGATGACGTTGATACTTTTGAAGAGTATTGGTCAGATATTTTGTACAATGTTGCTTAGTTTAAGTGTGTCTGTTGCCTTCTTCTGTGGTTAGGAGTGAAATGTTTTAGAATCTTCTCGAGAATGATGTTTTGAATCTCCTGGTATTGTTCAGATCTCTAGGTCCCCATTCTACTGTGATAACCCAAGTGCCTATTTTTTTCACAGGACATGTGCAAAGCTGCCACTGAGTCAGTGCCCTGCAGTGCCAGCCCCCTCCCAGGCAAGATTCGCCGAGGCACCTCTAGTGGTGAGTCCCATTTATTCAGGCCTTCTTTCCTTAATTATAACATGCCGTGGATGAAGGAGACACACTTGGAAACAAAGCCATCTAAGATTTATATCTCTTTAGGGAAGAAAGTAAACTGGGGCCTGGGCACAGTGGCTCATGAGTGTAATCCTAGCACTCTGGGAGACTGAGGTAGGTGGATTGCTTGAGCTCATGAGTTTGAGACCAGCCTGGGTAAGAGTGAGACCCTATTTCTACTAAAAATGAAAAACTGGGCCGCTCCTGGAGCTCAGTGGGTAGGGCGCTGGCCACATATACTGAGGCTGGAGGGTTTGAACCCAGCCAGGGCCAGCTCAAACAACAATGATAACTGCAACAAAAAAAATAGCTAGATGTTGTGGCAGGTGCCTATAGTCCCAGCTACAAGAGAGGCTGCGGCAAGACAATCACATAAGACCAAGAGTTGGAGGTTACTGTGAGCTATGACTCCATGGCACTCTACCGAGGGTGACATAACGAGACTCTGTCTCAAAAAAAAGAGAAAAAGAAAAAGAAAAACTGAGGCAAGAGGACCACTTGATCCCAAGAGTTTGAAGTTGCTGTAAACTATGGCATCATGGAACTCTACCCAGGGTGCCAAAGTGAGACTCTGTCTCAAAAATAAAAAAGTAGGGCAGTGAGTAGGGCCCCGGACCCTGAGGGTGGCAGGTTCAAACCCAGCCAAACTGCAACAAAAAATAGCTGGCCATTCTGGTGTGTGCCTGTGGTCCGCACCAGCTACTCAGGAGGCTGAGGCCACAGAATCGCCTAAGCCCAAGAGCTGGAGGTTGCTGTGAGCTCGAGGTTTCTGTGAGCTCTGATGCCATGGCATTCTACTGAGGGTGACATAGTGAAACACTGTCTCTAAAAAAAATAAATAAAAATAAACTGGCTTGGCACTCGTATTGCAGTGGTTACATAGTTGGCCACATGATGCACTGAGGTTGGCGGGTTCAAACCGGGTCTGGGCTAGGTAAACAACAGTGGCAACTGCAACAAAAAAAAATAGCTGGGTATTGTAAGCGCTTGTAGTCCCAACTACTTGGGAGGCTGAGGCAAGAGAATCACTTAAGCCCAAGAGTTGGAGGTTGCTGTGAGCTGTGACGCTATGGCACTCTACCAAGGGTGGCACAGTGAGACTTTGTCTCAAAAAAAAAAAAAAAGTAAACTGGGTAGTGAGTATACATTGCCATTCATGTAGCTATGTATGTTCTGTAAAGTTACTGTATACCCTGAGTTAGTGAAAGCCGAACCATTGATCTTGCAGTACTCCAGTCAGAATATTTTCATCAGCTGGTCAAATATGTAACCTTATTTTATATATTTTTCCTTTTAAAGATGACTTATTTAATACATATTGTTGATTCATTGTCGTGGAACTCACAGCCACCAACAGTATAACTCAGTCCTGAACAAAGCTTATCCAATATGAACATTTTTGTGTGTGTGGAGACAGAATCTCACTTTGTTGTCCTTGGTAGAGTGCTATGGCATCACAGCTCACAGCAACCTCCAACTCCTGGGCTTAGGTGATTCTTTTGCCTCAGCATCCCGAGTAGCTGTCAGTGGCCATTTTAAATAGCAAAATCACCAACAAAAGGCATAAAAATGTGAAAAACATTCACACATGTGGTATTAAATAGACTAGAAAAAGGATACTTGGTTATAGTTTGGGAGCTAAAATGAGAAGGTGACAGTGCCTTATTTGACTTCAGTTGGGATCATGTGTGTTAGGTGACTCACATTTTTCCCTGTCCGTGTCTGTAAATGGCTATGAAATTGCTGCATGTATTGGTTTGGGGTTACAAATAAATTTTATCATGTTCATACTTTTCTTCCTCTCTCTCTCTTTCTTTCTTTTTCTTTTTTTGAGATAGTCTCACTTGATCACCCTTGGTAAAGTGCCAGAGCATCACAGCTCACAGCAACCTCAAATTATTTGGGCTTTAGTGATTTCTTGCTTCAGCCTCCCAAGTAGCTGAGACTATAGGTGCCCGCTACAACACCTGGCTATTTTTTATTGTTGTTGTCATCATTGTTTAGCAGGCCCAGGCTGGGTTCAAACCCACCAGCCCCAGTACATGTGGCCTGC